GCCAATGATTGGCTAAAGGGGGCCATGGCCACCTCTGGCCCCCCATCTTGTTCCGCCCCTGGCAGAGCGACCACATTTTTACAGCGTTGATGTTTTATAACCCAAACCAGCAGCCTGCCCTTTCATAGCGATGGGTCATCAGTGTCTGGGCAGCTCAGGATGGATGCTCTCAGCCTACTAGATCCCCACCAAGGCCTGTTTACATCGCTAGCCTGCTAGCAGCATTGTATAACTGAAGTCATGCTTGGTTAACACACCTGCACCAAAACAGAAATAAAGCTCATTTCTATCAACGGTTGATAGAAATTAGCCCCCGCGAGACAATGGGGTCGTTTCCAGCTCTTAAACTGGCTAATATTAGCATTTAGTATCAGCTAGCGGAGGAACGCAAACTGTCATGACTTGGCCAGCGAGCTAATGTCCCTCCTGTTCCACAAAACCGCATTGGCATGACCACAGAGCTGGGAAACAACGACGACAACCATCACGGATTAACACGCCCCGGTAAAAGCCACAGAGCTGTGTTATCCACAAAGCACAGTTCTTACGACATGTCGTACTTACAACATCGGCGATAGGGTCCGTCTATCCATTGAACTCGCTGGTAATGTCTGATAGCAACACAGAAAACTGTGACATAAACGGTTTTCAATCGGTGACCCAGTTTCTGTTCGCCGTCATGCCTGTCGGACCACTAACCTAGTTTTTCGACCAATCGGGTTCGAGATTCCGGCATCGGCATCCCGTTAGCTAATCAGATGTGAGATCGGGCTGGGAAATTGTGACGGACGCGGAAGCTGACCAATGGTGGGCCGATTAGAACGGAATGCAGAAGTCAGTTTGTGTGTGAGCGTGTTACGGAAAACACAATGCAAACAGGCCATTTAGCTGGCGCTGTGCCCGATAACCCTGATTATCATTTTTAGTCTTTAAATAGACTGAATTATTGTGTTCCTATATGCTTTGTAGCCACAGCATATATGAATAGTTTTTAATATATTTTGGATTTTTATTCTTCTTATTTTCGCCCTTCATTTCAATTTTATCTTAAATGTAAAATTATATTTTTCAAATCTTTGTATTTCTTGGGGTTTTTTTTAATGCAATGTTTGCCTTAAACATTTAAAGAAAAATATTTATACAACCAATGCCTCATTTGTTTTGTCCTTATCTTGCACATCTACGCCCTCTACTGGGCAGAATTTGCATATACTGTGAATGTCTCCTGCAGATGTGATTTTCTTTTTGCATCACTTTCTTTAGTTTCATTTTCAGAAAGTGAAAAAAATATAGTAATAAATATTACAGATTTACGGAAGAGGATTAGGGCCACTGAAAAAAAAGTGAACAGATTTTTACATTTTATGTTAGTATAATATGGAAAAGATTTTAATTTCAGAATTTTGACTTTTTTCTTAGATTTCTGATTTGATTCTCAGAATTCTGACTTTTTTCTCACAATTCTGACTTCAGTTTCAGAATTCTGACTTAAATCTCAGAATTCTGGCTTTTTTTCTCAGAATTCGGACATTAATCTCAGAATTTTGAATCTTAATCTAAATGGGCACCATGAAGGGGAACTCAGCTTCACTGACAAAGATGTGAGTTGTTTGGGAGGGCCAGTAACACATTGGTGGAAAATGACTGAATTGGGCGACGTTTTACGTGCCAGAGGGGTCCCTGGTGAAGCTATTTCATTAATGGAAGAGCAGAAGGTGATTAAAATAAGAGAGATAGTTTAGTCTCTAAAACAGACATGGCTACGGCTTGATGCTAACATGCAGAATTCATGATGTAACATAACAAGCTGTTAGAATTCAGTAAGGATTCTAAGATCAAGGTCAAAATTCTGAGATTAAAGTCAGAATTCTGACTTTTTTTCATATTATACTGAAATAAAATTAAAAAAACAGTTAACTTTTTTAAATTTTTTTCATTGGCCCTAATTTCCTTCCGTACAGATTTCCTTTTACTCGCACCTTTATATTCAACAGTAATTCAAATATACCTGAAATAAAGATTTTTTTCCTCTGTTCTTTAGTACATCGTGTTCATAACATTGCTCTGTATCTGTTTTATAACTGCATTGGCATTCAAAATAAAAAAAAATAATATTTTGATCGTTAGTATTCATTAATGTTATTAAATAAGTATTAGTAAAATGTTTATATATTTCATGTTATTCATAAATAAACTTTTCATCAACCTTGTATTCCAACAGGGCCAGCCTGTAAGCAAATTATTGCTTAAAGCAACTAGCCCAGGACAAATAGGGGCCCCAAAAAGGACTTTCGAATGTATTATATAATCATAACAAGAAAAACGCTAATTCATGACAATTTGTGTATTTTTTCATCATTTTAACTCATATAAATAAAAAATAAGTATTGCCAGATTGATACACAAATGAGAAAGGATGAGTGTAAACCTATCAGAGCCTAATTTATCTTTAGAGAACAGACTGAAAGTGATGAGAGTGCACTGGGTTCAGAAAAGGAAAACCTTCCAGACACCCTAAAGCACAGATGACCTCATTAACCCATTTACCTTCTGAAAAGGAGATCTGATTTCTACTGAAATCTTTGGGTAGCTCTGAGGACGGCCTGTAGTCTCCCTGTGACTGTTGCATCTGCAGAGCAGAGCTTTTCCAAATTCAAACCAAGAAAGAACTAGATGAGGTTTTCCATTTTAGAAGAATGATTGAGTGATAATTAACAACAAAGCTCTCTGTCAGATTTCTTAAAGTGATCCATGTCATCCATGACTTTGGAAACAGAAAAGCTTGGTGCAAGAGTGAGTAGGGTACGTAGGAACAGAGCAGTAACATGAAAAAGTAATATGTGCAGGCAAAGATATGTTATATTTTAAATATGCTTTGGCATATAGTTACAGACATTCACATGTTTAAAAAAAATATTTATTCAGCTTCAAATTTAATTTCCATTTCTACCTGCTGCGTTCTTTGAACTAACGATCTGCAGTTGTTTTTAGAACAGGCTCTTAACAATCCTCTTTCCAGATCTACACTGAGCTCCTTAAACGTATCCACTGAACATCCAGTGACTGCTGTCAAACATCCTCTTTTATAACAGCCAGAGAAGCTGCGTACCGTTAGCAGTGATCTCTACTGGCAGGTTAAGAGGCTTAGGCATGAAAAAAGACTTTTTGCAACATCCTCTACCTCTTGGTTATAAATGTGTCTTGGTAATTTAGGAGTATATTAATAGTTTCCTCTGTGTCATATTTTCAAAATGCATTATATTTTCAAAATGCAT